CAAGGAGGTAAAGGTAGGATTGGGCCATTCCTCTTGCTGACTTCCAGTACACTCAAAATGGGGAAGCGAAAAAGTTAAAGACATTTTAAAATGAGGAGAGTAAGGGAATGGTATCATTGTTGGCAACTGGAAAGTACCCATGCACACTTTGAGGATACAGCAGGTATGTGTGAACCTTGCAGTCCACCCAGCTAAGGGCCAAACAGACACAAGTGGGAAGAACCTTCCTACCTGGGATATGAATGAAGCTGAAGAGGAGTAAGTTGGCGAGAGTCCATGGACAGACGTTCACTAAAGAGTTTTAGATTACACAGGAAAGGTGTTAGGGTTCATGGAAAGAGGAGGTGTCCTTGCAGTTTGTTAGTTTGACTTGTAGTCAAAGGTTGTGGTGGGTAGTTCTGCGGTGCATGGGGAGAAAGGGCCCAGAATCCCTCTCCTGGACATGGGACATAGCATTCAGGGCAGATACTACCTGGCCCCACAGGGTACCTCAGATCTATGGTACGTTATTCACAAAGCAAATGCCTTATTAGTAAAATAAAGCAAAAAAGATCCATTGTTTTGTCATGATTATAACTATACTGGGGCAGGGAAAACAACGTCAATACAGTTTCTATACAGACTAGCCCCAGGCCCTGGTGACCTTCTCCTGAGGGAGGCAGCATGCCTGCCTGGCATTTTTCTGGCTGGTGGGAAGTGGCTGCAGGGCTTCCTCAGGCTGCAACCCTCCCACCCTGCTGCTGGGGTCTGGATGTGGCCATGCAGTGCTGCCGGGCCCCTCTGGCTCCCCGGCGCTGCTGGCCTGTGGTCTCTGCCTTGCCAGTGGCCACTGGCCGGGGCCCGGAGCTCAGCTCTTGCCTCCTCAGCCCCATGTCCCAGCCGTCCCTGCCTGATAGCTTTCAAACCAGCTCCTTTGTGCTCGGTCCCATGTCGCCCCTCACGCAGGAGCTGGATTTCTTCTAAATGTCTGCAGTGTGACCTGATTATTTTTCCTGTCCTTCCTTGCCCTCCTTTTTAATAGTGTCTACCGAAAAGCTGGCAGAGTTCAGTTATATCAGTCATGCTGACTGATAGTGCTGCCTCTTCTCTTGGGATTCCTCCTCTTTTCTGTCCCTCCAGCATTCATTTCAGATTTAGCTATCAGCCCTCTAAAGACAGGGTATTGCCTTTGTTCTGTGTTTGTACAGCATGGAGCACAGTGGAGTCCCCAGCTGTGACCGAGGTTCCCAATGCCACAGTGATAAAAGTGAATAGATCAGTAATGAGAAGAGGCAGCTGCTACCGTCTAAAAAGATTCAGTTTTGGTGCTGGTTTCAGTGAAATCAGGATTGGATCTAAGGCTCCTCTGCTACTGCTGTTCCCAGTAGGGGTTTATATTAAAATAAAGACACAAACTTTAGGCTGCACTGAAAGTCATGAAAATCAGAGTGGCATTGCTGTTTAATGCTGTTAGACTGTGTTATTCTGATGTTAAGGCAGACATATGAGCTTGCAAATCTTTAATGTAAAATTACTGGGTTTCTGGTGGTAGCTGGGTTTCTGCATTTTTTTACAGACCCTTGGGTAGCAGGCTGAGCCATCGTATGCCATGGGATCATCCAGAGCTGTGGTAGTGGCACTGGGAAGGGGACCTGGTGAGGAGCACCGCAGTGAGGTGTTCCTCTCTAAGGCGCCTCTTAGTTCTTTTCCTCCTTCTAGTATTAGAAGGCATTTGGATGCTCTGTGGTGATGGCTGATTGAAGTACTGCTTTGTTGACTTTAAAATATTCCAGTGGCTATTAAAGATATCACAAAAGAATTCACTGAGGTCAAACTTGAGAAATCTCATGCTGAAATGCAAATTTCTTGATGTGTCACATCAAGGTGTGTTGCTACTGCAGTTTTCTTTGACACTGGTAATACGTTGTGTTCCCCATACATTTTGTGTTTCTTCCAAAGCATACTCCTCCGTCTCCCCCTTTTATCTTCCCGGATAGGTCCATCTCCAGATTCACATCACAGATGTGTATCTGATGTTGCTTAGGTCTGCTTTGAGCCCTTTGTTGAGACAGAATTTGATTTCTCATAATATAGCAGTGATTTGGATATCCAATTTACCTGATGTCCAAAAGACAGCCGGGTGTTACGTTAGTTCCAGGTTGTCCAGCACAGGCTGCCATCACATAATAGCAGCTTTCTTCCATGGCTCCTTGCTGTTTAAATTGTATATTATTATGTGGTTCCCATAGCCAAAAGGCCGATTCTCTCCGTGTTAGCTGTTTAAATGTGGAAAAAGCAAAGCACAAACTAAAAAGGCAGTGTTACCTAGTATGGCTTACTTGTCCTAAGTCTAGAGACACTGGTCAAGGATCAGCACCCACTGTGCTATGCACTGTGTGCTCTTCACAAAAGGACTCTCTCTGCCCCTAAAGACCTTATGAGTATAACCCTAGGCAAAAATTGCTACATGGTTTTCTTGACATTTTTCAGAGACAAGTCAGTCATCCTATGAAGTGTTACTGTGCTAAATCTGAGGCCTGAATGTGATCATTGTTACGCTGTCTTACAAGAATGTCAGTCTGAAGTACAGTCCTCAAAGCAACCTTAACTGTGAAGTCACTTCTAATGTCTCTACAGTCCATTCCCATTAGACTTCTGTTAAATCTTTTTTTTTTTTAATCTAGGAAATAATTTGTCTTCTAGTCCTTTTGTACTTAAAATGATTCCACATAATTCCACTATGGTTCTTTCATCTCCTTGCAAAATCTGGGATGGCTCCTATCTGGCTCTGGAAATACTGTCTTCAGACATCCTCATTAATTGATTCCTTACTCTGGCACAACATTGGAAACGATGCTACTTCCCTCTCCCTGGGGAAATACAAGCCTGTGCGCATCTGTCCTGTCTCCCTTTGTGCTTAGCCAGGCAAAGAATTGCTCATGTTTTGTGTTCTTTAGCACTGCCTGCTTATCGCCCTGCTCTTCGTATTTGGTAGTAGCCTGGCTGTTTCTCACAGCCTAAAGATTTTGTTATTATAGAGGGAGATTTTCTTCCATTATCTGCCTTATTTTCAAAAGCTCTTTAATCCTTTTACTCCTGTATGGTAAGACTCATCTACTGTGGCGTGTTTGAAGTGTTAGCTCTTTAGTGACAACGTACAAAGTGCGCAAAATGGCACCAGAGATGGATTTTGCCCACTGAATTAGGTACATCAGGCTCCTCCTGAAATCTGCAGCTTCCAGCTTTTCCACTTTCCCAGCTAGGCAAACACAGCTAATGCCTTGCCCCAAAGGTACCTCTTCCTTCTCTTTCTTGGCTTACTTGTGTTCTCCTTATGCTCTATTTCATGTTGCTTGAACCTGTTTCTTCTGCCTTCACATGGATGGAGTTAGAACAATATAAAATCTGTAAAAGCCACTAAAACAGCTAGGTCTCACCTATCTGGATGCAAGTTTGCTGCCACATGAGTTAATCTGCCTGCTTGCACAGCTCTTGCACCACAGGTTCAATCACCAGGTTTTGCCAGTTAAAGTCTAATTTTTGCCCTAGTTTCCAAGGCATTTCCCTGGCCTGGATCTAGTTACCTTAGGGATTAATTGATCCATCATGATTTTGACCTCCTGCACCATCCACTCCCCATGAAATGATGGGGCTGTCATGCCTGAAGCAAGAACGTTGTGTGTGACAGACAGCTTTCTTTGTGACTTGGCTGGGATCACAGGCTTCACTCCTAAAAGATACTAGAATGGCAAGAATCTCAGCACAATATAGGACCCATTTTTTTTAATCTGCTGTCTTAATCACAACCCTATTAGTACAAGGTTTTATTATTCATTGGAATTTGATTTTATTCATGGGATCAGAGAGGAAGCTATTTATTCCTTTATTTTATTGTCTTTTGACGTGTCGTAAGGCAATCTGAGATCACAGCATATAGAAAATATAACTCTGTAATTGCAAGCAAAGCCAAAAAAAAAAAACCAAACAAAAACCTCCCTGAATACATGTTTGTCTCCCTTTTGCTGCTGTTATATAAACTGTGATTATAGGTAGAGTACATCCATCTTCCTTTTTTAACATGAAAACAGCAGATGGGGCACATGGCTTTTTCTGAAGGTTATAGCGTGTGCAGCAGTGAGGATTGGCAGGGTTATTGTGTGTAAAGCCAGTGGGGGCTTTATCTTTGCGTAGAAATAGGGGTTTGCTTCACATTTCCATTTTGATTAGCAATAATGATACAAAGGCAAATTTTCTGTGCGAGGAAGAGCTGCTAATAAAGTGACCTTTCAAAATTAAGTAGCTCATTGAAGTGCCATACCACAATAAGAGTATACAAGGCTGGTCTCAGCTGCAGCAGGCAGGGAAACTGGACAGGAATCCAGAGAAATGTGGAATGGGAAACCTGAAGTGGATGAACGGTACATGGTGGCACAGTAATGGTAGCAAAGAGCAATGGCCAGGTGCTGTTTCAGCTCTGGAGGGGCGGATCTATGTGCTTCGTCTTTGAAAGCGTCTAGAAGTACGAAAGGCAGGGGCAGAGAGTGTTTCTAGCAAGGTTTCTGGGCATGGGGTTGTGCAGTTAAGGGACTCAGTTATTGTCCTGCCGTAACATCGGTTGTGCGTGGATGCTGCTGGGAATGTGTTTGTGTGGCTTTACTCATGGTAAACACAGGGTAGATTTGGGGCTGTTTTGTGGATTCCTCTTGGATACAGGTGGAGAGGACTTAATACCATGCTGGTCCTAATTCAAACCCCTGGTTTCTATGTAGGAATTTGCCATTAGATTCCAGCTATGCAGCCTTTGGCAAGAGACATGAATCAATTTGTCCAGCTTTTCTTTTCTGTTTTGTCTCTGTGTGAAGGCTGATGCCCAGTGTGTGCCAAGGGGGCCTTTCAGACCCAATAATGCGCCCTTGTGTCTCGTAGCATGCGTGGAATTTGCATAGGCTGTGCTGGGACAGGCAGGTTTCTTTTGTTGCTGGAAACAAGGAGCAAGTTCTTTTCCCTGTCTCTGCTTCCTAATGCCTCTCCAAAAGCTCTCAGCACTCATGTAAGAAATTTACTTTTTTCTATTTATTTTTGTATTAAATGTTGTTAAACTTTGTGCAACTTGTAATGCTGGCTGTGCAGAGAAGTCATGTCAGTCAGTTCTAGTTGACAAAATTGTTTAATTTTCTTTCTCTGAATCTAGATATCTAATTGTCAGAGGGAGCAGATAATCTGTGATGCTTGATGTAACTGCTGCAAAGTATTTGCATATCTTCTCTGTGGGGAAACAAAACTGCTAGCGAGTGAATAACAGTGCACGGATCATTGCAGGCAGGGTCACTGGGCCTATACACTTGCTATTAACCCTTCTCAGGATCTGTATTGCCACAGAATGAGTTGTCATGGGTTTCAAGCAAAGGGCTTGCTCCACATTATGGGCAGAGCTGGCACTTGTTTGTGCATTGTAGCCCTGTGCAATGAAATGCGAATATGATCAGATCAATTGGCAGTTGCTTTTTGGCAGCTGATACCAAATTGTTGCATTTCGGTCTTGATTTATTGCAGATAACAAACTGCTGAAAAACAGACTGGGAGGTACTCGGAAAAATATGGCCCCCATTTGGGGTCAGCAGCATGCTCGCTAGGCCACTCTGAGTGATGCAGCTGGGAGCCTTTAAGAGCTTTCTAAAATTTTAGATGACCTGGCAGATTGCCTTGCAGTCTGCCTTGCAGATCTTTCTCCTCTCCATCCTCTTGAAGGAGTCTTTGACATCTGTGGAGAGCAGTGGCAAGGGGAAGAGGGTTTTGTATGGATTCTCACAATGCAAGTGGTGCTGAGAGCCTGGTTTCCTCTGATTTCAGCAATCTTTCTCCTTGTGTAGCCTGCGTCCCAGCTTTTATTCTCTTATTCTGGTCACGCATCCTGGAAATCATGCCAAGATGGTCTTTCAGGTCAAAGATGTACAGCAGTAGCTCAGATAACTGTTGGGTTCGCAGATACCGTGTGGAGGCGGGCTGGAGTTCAGGTGACTTGCCATTATGTGCTTTGATGTCCTCCCCTTCTTTAGCTACCGTCGATTTACATCAGAACAGTAAGTTGCTGAGATCCCTGAACTAGTAGCTGAAGTGCTCTGTTGCTTGAACCAATGGATGTAAGGTCCAGTGGGTTGCAAACACTTTCGCTGGCAGGCGTGCTGAGCAGTGAGCACAGATGCCCAGCATGGTCCGAACACGGTGAGGTGGCCTCCACCCCTCAGCGGAGAGGAGAGGAAGGTCCAGGTATTCCGGTCTTCTGTGGGGAGGCCTGCTTTGGAGGGAAAGCCTTTGGTGGCCTTGGGGGCGATCGGCAGAGCACATGCTCCCCCCCAGGTGCCACAGCACACCTAAGGGACTGACGGGATCCCTGGTGCACGAACACAGTGTTTCTATTACCTGTGCGCTTGGCAGCTGCTGTTGGAAAATGGTGTTTGGTGGGAGCTCACAGCTGAGGAGGGATGTTGAAACAGTGGAAAGTGTTATCTAAGAGCCCAAGAATGATTAAAGCATTGGGGAATGTCACACAGTGAAAGCACAGTGTGTGCGAGCTGGGTGGGTAGGCAGCTTCCACCCAGAGCCCTGGAAGACCTGGCACACCATCTCACAGGGCCAGGGCAATGCTTTATAGCTGAGTATGTATGACATCAGGGCAGTAGCTTGTGACTGGAGAATAATGACACTAATCCTCACTTTTAAGTAAAAGAGGGACAGGAGAAGCAAGCTAGGCGACTCTAGCCCGTGGGCTTCAGAAGCATGCAAGTGTTTGAAACGGTGGGAAGATGGTAACGGAAGACCTAGAGGTAGATGGAAATTGGGATGAGCTTTAAGTGTGAGCACTGAGTGCTGATTAACCTGAGATCTCTCTTTGATAACTCTTTATTTTGATTTTAGACACGGTAAATGTAGCTTACCTAACCTCTGGTAGGGCTAAGTATCTGTTATAGATAACCCTTAGTAGAGCAGTGTCTCAGACCCATTCTTTTCCCATGCCAGATGAGAAGCTATGAAATGGAGAAAGTAGGCATCAGGAGAGAATAGGGAGGTTAGATAAAGGAGAGCCTGAAGAAGAGGCAAGAACCGGATGAGCCAAGAAGAGATGTACTAGGAGGAAGATTACTACGGGTTCCTCAAGTACTGATCTTCCGTGGCTTGTGCTAATACTGATGAGTTCCCACTTGCTCCAGACTCAGAGTGCATAGCTGGGCAGTTATTGTAGCTGGTAGAGAGCAGTAACCAGGAGTTGGCAGCTTGTCACCAGGAAGCATTTGACCACATAGAATAGAATCATAGGATCGTTTAGGTTGGAAAAGACCTTTAAGATCATCCAGTCCAACCATTAACCTACACTACCAAATCCACCCTAAACCAATCAAGAGTAGACTAGACTAAACCACGTCCCGAAGTGCCACATCTATCCGTTTTTTGAACACTTCCAGGGATAGTGACTCCACCACCTCTCTGGGCAGCCTGTTCCAATGCTTGACTACCCTTTCCGTGAAGAAATTTCTCCTAATTTCAAGCCTAAACATCCCCTGGCGCAGCTTGAGCCCATTTCCTCTCATCCTATCGCTAACTACATGGGAGAAGAGACCAACACCCACCTCACTACACCCTCCTTTCAGGTGGTTGTAGAGAGTGATAAGGTCTCCCCTCAGCCTCCTCTTCTCTAGGCTAAACAACCCCAGTTCCCTCAGCCGCTCCTCATAAGGCCTGTGCTCCAGACTCTTCACCAGCTTTGTTGCCCTTCTCTGAACACGCTCCAGCACCTCAATGTCTTTCTTGTATTGAGGGGCCCAAAACTGGACACAGTATTCCAGGTGTGGCCTCACCAGCGCCGAGTACAGGGGCACAATCGCCTCCCTGCTCCTGCTGGCTACACACATCCCTGGCAGAACTGCGGGTCAGTGGTGTTGCACGCTTATGGTCTTAAAAACAAAGTCCCAGGGCATGGGAACTTTCTGTTTGTTGATAGGAAGGTAGTGATGGTGGAACAGCAATGGGAACTGATGAGTATAAGCCGGCCATGAAAAAAGGATTGGGATTTAGACTTTCAGGTCATAGGGAGTGAATTTCTGGGGAGGAAAGGAGACAGAACCAAACCTATTTATGACTGAGAGTGTTAAGTTAATGTAAAATATTGGATGTCGTAGCTGCCTGAGCTAGTAGGATGTAGATACAGTGAAAGTTTTAGCTGGGTGTTGTCATGTGTTGCATATGTTACCATCACGTTATGGAGTGCTAGTTTGGGGCTCTCTTGTGCAAACTGGCCAGAAGTGATTTTGCTCCGAAGGGAAACGTAACTGCGCTGTGCTGAACACTCACTGAAGACAGACAGTGCTGATGGTGTAGACTGGTAGCTCCTGTGTCAGCAGATGTCTCCTTCAGGGCAGACCAGCTGGCTGTAAAAAACAAAGCAATGAGGAGTTACTGTATTTTTTTTTTTCTCCCTCCCTTTTTTCCAGTGATGCTATCTGCAACTTTGTCATCTGCAATGACTCCTCCCTCCGCAGCCAGCCGATCATCTTCAATCCTGACTTCTTTGTGGAAAAGCTGCGCCATGAAAAACCAGAGGTGTTCACAGAGCTTGTTGTCAGCAACATTACCAGGCTCATTGACTTGCCTGGGGCAGAGCTGGCCCAGCTCATGGGAGAGGAGGACCCAAAGCTGCCTGGGGCAAACAGCACAGCCTCTGGATTTTTTCGTTCTCTGATGTCTCTGAAGCGCAAGGGTGAGTATGGCATGATGTCTGGTGCCCACCTTTAGGGTGGTGCCGACTGTCATCATCTGTTACACGTAGTTTACAAAACTTTCAGTGTAGGCCTTTGTTTTGAGCTTGTGTTGAATGCTTAATACTGTAGGTTTGTAATCTCTGGGGATGCCAGCTCTAGAAAGGAGCAGAACAGAGGCCAGGAGGTTCATCCAGGAAACACCCTGCCACTTCTAGAGTACCATTCTTCTGGGGGTTATTGCTGTGGTTTGTTAATGTCAGGTTGGCCTCGGTAAGTCTGCTGCTTGCTGTGCTCAGTGTAGCACAAACCAGAGAGATACAGGTTTGGTCCCTGAGTGTTTCTGGTCTGGCTCTGTGGATAGCACTGAGCTGGAGAGGGGTCCCTGAGCAAGCTTGCAGGTTCTTCCAATACACAGCAAGGTGTCTTTGTCTCTCTGCTTGTTTGTGTCCATGGTAGTCCATGCTCTGTTTTCCTTAGCTTATTAGGTATCCTCATAAGTGGTGGAATATCAGTAAAGGCTGAGAGCATCAGGTTCCATGAAGAACAAGAATGTCCAGGTTTTCTAGGCCACTGACTTCACTCAGTGCCCACTGTCTCCCACAGTAGCCGTCCCAGCTCTCTGGAAAGCCTTGTCTGTGCAGCTCAGAAATCTATAAGCATCTCCCATCCAAATGCCAGTGCCGCTCTGATCCACATCCCAATCCTGTGAGTCAGTGACAAAGCTCTGTAGACTGATTCTGCTCAAGCCCAGATTCAACCCTGGGAGACGACATCTCTTTCTCTCTGATACAAGCATTCAGCTGGAGTTTTCTTCTGGTAAACTGACAATTCTTATCTTTTCTTTCAAGTTCAACTGTCTTGGTTATGAAACTCCAGGCCCCTTCTCAGAAGTCAGATTTGCTTTTGAGCACGGTTGTGTTCAGATCCTCTCCTCTTCACTGGCTGGCATTTACCACTCTGTTTTGTCGTAACTAAAAGGGCATTCTAGACGTGTGTGTGTGTGTGCATTCTCCCACCTTTGCCCACATTCAAGGGGAGCCTGGTTCTCCTGATAAGTTCAGTTAAAACTTCTCACTCATCTAGACAGAAACTGCTTCCATCTGGGCACCTCTCACATCCCTTGTCAGCTCTGGTTTCCTAGCTAGACTGGCTGTCTGCTGGCAGAGAAGCTGTGGGTAGCTGCCTTCAGATGTTGGCAGCCTAAGGTTGAACACTTCTAATTAGTCTTCCCCTTCCTTTGAGCAATTCTGCTATTGTGAGTACCTCTGAGAAGGGAGCTATCACTATGTCCAAGTATGGCTTTTTTTTTTTGCCTTCAACCTTTATGTAGTTTCTCTAAGTGTTTTTGATTCTACCAAACCTATCCTTCCATTGTGTTTCATAAGGACAAGCTCTGCAGCCCCACTGCTCAGGCTGAATTTTCTGCTGCTGGCTTCAGCCCTCTACTCCTAGCTCACCCAGTGTGAACCCTGGTAGATACACTCACCCTGGGCTGGACAGCACTGCAGGGGAAAATCAAGTACTGCAAATCAAGTCCTTTAGCGTCCTTAGGTGAGAATTATTCAATATTGCCATGACTTACCTTGCTGCTCCATAATAACAGGTCTTCACACTGCCCCCAAACTGCAGTTAGACTGTGCTCATACCTGTCGTTGCTCCTGTGTCTGTTCTAGGAGAGTAGCAGAACACCTGAAATTCAGACACTTGATGAACAGAAACGAGTGAGTAACCAAGGTGAAAGTGTTTCCTTAACGTGTATGGAAACTTCTCTGTTCTTGTGAAAACCTTCTAGCAGGGGCTTATGAGCCTTCACTAGCGTGGTTTTTTTTTTTAAATTATCTGTACTCTTCTGGAGCACTGCTCTTATCAGACCTGATGTCTCCCGCTAGCTCTCTTCCCCAAGAGCTCCGCCTTCCCCCATTCAGTCATCTCCATGGCCATGTGTCTCACTACAGCTACAGCTAGCAGATGTTTCCAAGTCTGCTGGCTGCACTCCCAGGCTGCAATGGCAGTGTCTCCCTGCACTGACAGGCACTGTCTGTGAACTCCTTGGCCAAACTCTGAGAAAAAGTAGTTTGTGCCTACAGAGAAAATCAGTTTCATGTACTGCATGTTTCATCTTGGAGCCATCATTTGTTTTTCTTCATGTTACAGACCGACCAGCTAGAACAAACAGGTTTTATTTCTTCAAAGCTAGAGGCCAAGGACCATAGAGCTCAGAGCTGATCAAGCTGCAAAAACTTACAACTCCTTTGAGCATTAGGAAACTCAATCTCATGCTGCTGCTTAGTTTCAGAAGCAATTGTACAATAACATCTAAGCCTTCGTAACTCAGCATCCATTCTCCAGACACTTCTTTCAAGTTTCTTTGAGAATCAAATTCTCATTCAGATATCAACTTCTGACTTCAAAAGTAAATGAAATTTGTCAGGCCCTGCATGTCTCAATAAAATGTATTTTCCTCTTCCCTTCCTGGCCACCATTGATTCTATGTGTTGAATGTCTAATGAGTTTAGTTTTCTTCAAGGGCAAGAATCTTTTGCCAACCATTCTCTCCCTTTGCACTCAAGTCTTTCAGATCTTACATGTGGATCAAGAGGTTACATTGCCCTCCTTTCTCCCACAAGACTGAAGCATGAGCTTTATCGGAGGGAGGTCAAAGTTCTTGATTTAACAGGAGGCTGGAGTTCCTGGTGGCTTACCATGTGCTTCAGAAGTCCTGGAAGAAAGTGGAACATTTTTCAGGCGGAATAAATTTAGTTGCACAGGAAGGCTGCTAGAGAAGTGCACAGGGTTAACCAGGTCTTTCCCACATGCTGTGAGCATCAGCACCACAGAACAGTAAGATCTGTAGTACAACAGACCAAAAGCTAGTAAAATCAAAATGTGCTATGAGGGGGTGGGGGGGAAAGCAAGAGAAAGCTTGTGGGGGAGATAACTTTTATCAGACCAGCCAACACACTGCTTGGATTGCTGGGCTATCAGCTCTAACAATAAGGAGGAAAATCTTCAGCCACAGACAGCTGGGGTGCAAATGCCCAGCTTGCCCTCAGAAGGGGCCCATGCTCCTGGCAGTCTGGTCATGGAGAAGGGAGGAATACTCTTTTCTTAAATCTGTTGGCTCTTTGAAGCCTCAGTGCAAGGGCAGGACAAACCAGCTCTGTACCTGGTTCCAGTTCTCAGTCCCAGACAGCATGTTGCGGTATGGTCTATTCAGAATCTTGTCTCTAGCTGCAGTCAAAACCTACATGCATCTGAGGGAAGAAGTGGTGCTCAGGGCTCTGGTTGCTGCCAGTGAAGCCCCTGGGAGTTGCCTCAGCTTTCTGAGGGACAGAGCTTGCTGGCTGTGTGTCTGATGGAAAAAGCCACTCACCAGCAAGACTCCATTTATTAGAAAATACTGTTGTGCTGGTTAACCACTCTCTTACCTGGGAAGTCCCTCTCTGGACAAGAACAGATTTCTGCATTGGTTCAACAAGTGCCTTTCAGTTAAATGGGCTTCTCATCTAATGTTTTCTTCCGTGCAAGGATCTCCTTCCTTTCAGCTCAGGTGCTTCTGTCTTCTTTTGGGGCTGTAGCCTGTGTTGAGTGGAGTTCTGGAGCTGACAGCTCATGCCTGATCTGTAACAGCCCCATGAGATCAAAGCAAACTCCAGGAGTGAGAGGAGCTCTCAGTGCTCCATGTGGAGAAGGGCCCAGCTCATTGCTTTCCCTTTTTTCTAGCTCTTCCTTGTTCAGTTTACTGATACTTCATGCTTTACTGTACTCAGGCCAAGGCAGCTGACATGGAAGAGAGATTCACTGGAATTGGGGAATTCCAGGGATTACCCATCCTGGAAAAGGAGGCCAGTGTGAGCCAGTTGGATTGTGTCTGCTCTCCCTACTAGTGCTTGGTTCCCTTTCCCATAATCTCATAGCTGCACCTCTTCTTTCTGCTCTACTCCATGTCAAGCCACAGTGAGGATTAGTCTGAACATTCCTTCCCAGGTGTGGAGTGTGCACTGTGGCAGGCACCTGGGCAGTCCAGGCTGTCACATCTGCCCTTCCCGCTTTGCTGTTTCCATAAGGTCCAGGCTTGCAGATGTATATGCCCTTTAAAATTGAAGCACATGTTCTGGTGGTGTTTTCTTTTCAGAGCTAGAGAATGTTTGCTTTAGCTGATAAAAACTGTAATTAAGCTGAGGTAAGAAGCAGGGTGATGGAGCCCTTGTAAGTACAGCATGGTGAGGTGAAGTGACTTATTTGGGAGTACTTGTGATAGCTCACATCTGTGGGGGTCCTTGTGACCTTCACCCTTAGTGTTTTGGGGCGCTGGTCTTTGCATGCTGGGATCCTGTTCTTTGGGGACCACTCATCTCTGTGGCTGTTGGGGTCTGAGCTGCCTGAACACATTATCTTCTGTTCTGCAGAGAAAGGGGTTGTGTTTGGCTCACCGCTGACAGAAGAAGGCATTGCACAGGTCTCCCAGCTAATCGAGTATCTGCACAAAAGTAAGTGACTGTCTTGCTGTCTTCCTATCCCAAGTGGTATCTGTCTGGCCCACCTCAGGTGTCTGGTGCAGAGTGAAAAGCTCTGAGCTCTCCAGCAGCAGGAGTTTGGGGCTGGACTAGGCGACTGTTCCCCAGAATTGCTTTCCCTCTGTGCATGGGCTTTTTCTACTGATGGGAGCCAGCTTGAAGTCATGTCTCGGAATGCAGGTCACTGAGGTTTACTGTCAGGCTCTGGAAAGGGGAAGGAACTGCTTTAGTAAGAAGATGGGAATCGGCCTCTGATTAATCAGTGGTCTTTTTTCTCCCTTCTGCCAAGCAGATCTAAGAGCAGAAGGCTTGTTTCGGGTGCCAGGCAACAGCATCAGGCAACAGATCCTAAAGGATGCTCTGAACAGTGGTACAGATATTGACCTGGACTCTGGGGAGTTTCATTCCAATGATGTGGCCACCCTGCTTAAAATGTTCCTGGGTGAATTACCAGAGCCGCTGCTGACACACAAGCACTTCCATGCCCACCTCAAAATTGCAGGTGAGTGAGCAACAAGAGGCAGTGATGAGCAGAGGGAATGGAGCCAGCCTCCTAGAAAGTTGGTAATGCTACAGAGCTGCATACTAGGCTGCGGAAGTGTAATCCTTAAAGGCAGGGTAAGAAGGAATCTTCCTGCCATCTCAGCATAATGGTGAAAAGACTGGAACTGAAAATCCTAAGGAATCAGACCAAGTCTGTCTAGCCCAGTCTTCTTTCTCCAGCAATAAACAGATACCTACAGGAGTCGAGCCCACACTGGTAACCTGGGTCTCCATCTGTTTTAAGTCTGGGGGTCTTCCGAGCGAGGTGTGGTTTAATAACTGTTACTGAACTACCTTATGTGAACTTCCTCCATCTTGCCTTCAGCCCATCACAACTCTTAGCAACTCTGTTGTCCTGTGGGAGGAGTACCACAGATTAACACATCAGGTGGGGAGCTTGGGAGCTGGTGGGAGAGAGATGGAGGGCCAGGAACTGTGCAGGAGTTTGGAGGAGATCTGCATGTGAAGAGGGGAAGGGTAACCGGTTACAATAGGCCTGCTCTTAGGGAAGGCAATGTATGTCCTTCATGTTCTGCCTTGTGATTTGGCAGACTTGACGCTGTTTGATGAGAAGGGGAATAAGACCAGTACGCCAGACAAAGAGCGCCAAATTGAAGCCCTCCAGCTGCTGTTTTTGATCCTTCCCGCGCCCAACCGCAGTCTGCTCAAACTGCTGCTGGACTTGCTCTACCAGACCGCCAAGAGGCAGGACAAGAACAAGATGTCTGCCCACAATCTTGCCCTCATGTTTGCACCCCACATCCTATGGCCCAGAAATGTAAGCAATGCCTCAGCATCTGCGGGTGGGATATTGCAAGGTAGGAAGCAGAGGCTTGGCAGGCCTACAGGGGAAGAACCAAGACGGGAAGATTAAGTATTGATACAGTGATGTGAGTGTTGGAGGCTGGGATGGTGAAGTGGAGCTTCTTGGCAGGACTCACTCCTAGTGTTCAGTCCAGACCTGCTGTAGGTCTCATTTGCAACTGATGCTTCGTCTTTTTCAGTAAAATTGAAAGCACAGCACAGTCCTGCTTCTATGAATGACAGCTCCAGACAAACCTTGCAGATCTCTGTGCAAGGTTTCTTGTGCTGCTGGTGAACTGTTTGGCCCCAGAGTTGTCTCATTCCTCTCCTCTCAGACCAGCTTTGGCTCTGTGAGCTCTGCTTGTTGGTGTGCTGTGAGCCCTGCCTGCCTCTCCTCAGAGCAGGCCTTCTGCTGAGGCACCGTGTGTCTCTATGTCCCAGAGACAGCAAGGGCAGCAGAGACCCTTCATCCTCCCCTTCTAACTGCTGTGCCTTTGGCTATGTCCCCTTGCCAGGTGACAGCAAATGACCTTCAAGAGAATATCACGAAGCTAAACAATGGAGTGACCTTCATGATCAAACACTCTCAGAAACTCTTCAAGGTAAGTGCGCTTCGGGGTGTTGTTCTCCCTGGCCCTTCAGCAAGAGACTGAATGCCTCTTGTCCAGACAGATCCCAGGTGTCAGGTGTATATTCTGGGCGCTCTCTTCTGCGGTAGGAGAAGGAGGATTTCTACAAGAAACTGTTCCTTTAGTGACTAGGGAGGAGGTCTTTGCCAGGCAGGCAGCCCAGGAGGAGGAGGACAGCCCCAGAGGTGGCTTTGTGCCTGGGCAGGTCAGAAGCGCGGTGCAGAGTAACACCCCCCTCTGCTGGACACCCAGCACCCGCTGCCTGGCTGGGAAACCTGGTCCTGGGGCAGGTAGCGACTGGGCTCCCCTTGGGTTCTGGCAGGGGCTTGAAGGGGCTTGTCCTAGATGAGTGCTGCCAAGAGCTGAATCCCTAATACAGTGGGTCATTTTGTTGTGAACTTCTCTGCAAGTGGTAGTCAACCCACTGCTGTTACAAGCACAGCCTGCAGTCTTGGGGCCTCTGTCTAGCTCAGAGTGGGGTGCTGTCAGGAGTGTGGGGCTGTCTGCAGGTTGTATTAGGGGACTAAGAAAGTGTTTCTGCAACAGGTAGTCTCTTGACTTCTCAGAACCTTCCTGGTCATGCTAGGCATCTGCTCTCTGCAAAAAGTCCTCACATAGAAAGTTCCCCTTCTGCCCTCTTTGTCAGGCCCTTGTTTGGCCAGCTCAGAGCTGGGGGAATTGCTTGGAAAAATCTTCTGCAGACCCCTGCTCTTACTCTGTGTTCCACTTGTGCTGGTTGCCTGCATCAAAGGCAAACTGTGAACAGGGACTGTGCTGGGGACATGAAATCCCATTGCTTTGTCTGCCCTAAACGGCTGAGTCTTGATGGACATGGCTTGTGTGGTATGGTGGAAGAAAAGCTCTTGCTGGAGCCACTCTTGCCCCATGGCTAAACACACTAAACATATGTTTGGCCTTTTCTCTGCTCATCGTCACAGGCCCCAGCGTACATCCGGGAGTGTGCCAGGCTGCACTATCTGGGATCCAGAGCCCACACATCAAAGGTAAGGCCAGCAAATGCAGTGCCTGCCCTCCATGAAAGGGCAGAGGCTGTGATACTATGGAGGCATCCTTGTGAGTGAAAGAAGCTGAAAACAAACCAAGTCGTGAAAGAAGATCTGTCAGAGAGCAGGAGTGAACAAACCATATGGTGTGGTAGTGCAGGCGGCTGCATTAGGGAAATTGGGCAGAGTTGAAGCATCTGTTAATCAAAAGCACAGGGAAAGCTACCAGCCCCTGTTTAGCAGCAAACTGCTCCCTGTGCCCAGTACATGCAGCACCTGCTCCTTCATGGGGTTGTGCCTTCCAAACAGACAGACGCGCCTGCTGCCATGGCCAGGCTGCTTGGAAGAGGGGCTGGGATAAAGGCTACTTGCTGCCACTGGGACAAGATTTGTCTGCATCTTGCCAGCAAATGCTTCCCTGCCTCCTATAGCTGCAGAAGAGGGAAGATGCATTGCAAGGAACTGCACTGACCCTTCTCAAGCCTGGAAGGGCTTCTGCAGCTGGCACCCAGGAGGGGAGGGAAGAAGCAATGGGGTCACCTTTGTATTGCTGTCACCTCTTCCTGGCACAGGGCCTGCTGGTGCAGTGCTGCTGCAGAGGGGTAGGGAAAACACAGCCCTGTGCATTCACTGGGGCTGAGGCAGCTCACGAGACAATTCCCAACCTGGCTCAGATGGGTGGAACATTTGGATTAAAGCATGGCAAGCAACTGCTGTCTCCGCTTTCCCAGGATGACCTGGATTTGCTGACATCTCCTGGCTCCAAGGAGCTGCAGCCCCTCAAGTCTCAGAAGCGAAGCCGGCTAGACACTTGCCATCAGGAGGACACCCAGCAGCGCACAGAGGAGGCACTGAAGGAGCTCTTCCGCCATGTCCACAATATGCCTGACTCTGCAAAGAAGAAAAAGCTTATCCGGCAGGTAGTGTGGGGAGGAGAGATATCTTTGGGGTGTGCTTGTCAGTTCAGTCCTGGGCACAGGGCTAAAGGCAGGGCCTTCTTGAGAGCTGCTCCTAATCCTGGGCCAGCTGGGGAGAGTGGGCTTTGGGCTCTGTAAGGGGCAGAGATGTAAGAAGGCAGGGGAGGAGGCTGCTTATCCTGGATGTAGCTGACCGTGGAGCTTGCTGCACCAAGCTGTGCTTTGAGCTCTCTGTTTTCCAAGCCAGGGACTTGCCAGCCAGCAGTTCCCCAGACCTGATCATGGCCTTGTTCAGCTTCCTCCCTCAGAAGAGGAAAAGTCTTGTCCCCTCTTGCCTGCAGGGAGTGAACAAACTGGTCTTCTCTCGGCCTGTTAGCATTCCCAGCCAACCTGCTGCTCCAGCGAGACTGGGCGGCATGGTCAGCACCAGTCCTGGCTACCAGCCTCCAGCTGCTGCCCAGCCCCCTTTCCGCTCCAACAGCTGCTGCTTTTGGCTAATCTGGTAGCCAGCACAAAACAGCCTCACACCCAAGCTCCCTGTATTCCTGGGTGGGAGATGTGGCCTTCCTCTGCTTTCTCCTCCCTGCAGCTCTGAGCTGTTCCTCCATTTTGGGGTGCGGAAGAGACAAACTGAGTTCTAGGCAGAGGGCAGCAGGTAGAGCAGCACACAGCAGCAAGGGACTGGTGTAACTGTAACAGTAACCGTGCTAACATACTGCCCTTGTGTTTCCTCCTAGTTTAATAAGCATCCTACAGCTCTCACTCCTGGCTCTGATGTACCCACATCCCCAGCACCGCGACGCACCCGCTCACGCTCCTTCAGCGGCCTCATTAAGGTAAAGGCAGCCTCTGACCCATGCTCTCTGCTGTCAGTTGCTCTCTGCTTCTGCCTTGCCCTGGCTTGAATGAGGCCCTCAAAGGGTAGGGACTGTTCAAAGTATTGGCTGCCAAAGAACACAGATCCACTGGGGACAGAAAAGGCAGCACAGTGACAATAAGCCTTGTTCATGTAAAGTGTAATTATCTATGAAATGCATGGCTGTAGGATCTTTCTGAAGGATTGGTTGCTTCCCGAGATGAGATGAGGACTGACAGGGAGCTGGTCATGTAGTCTAGCCTGTTAGCACAGGTGTTAGCATGCTGTAGGCTGTCCCACAGCAGCATGTACCTGCTTCTGACAGGCTGGGCTCCTGGCCAGGCCTCAGGTCAGCTTCCAAACCCTTTACAATCAGGCAGGCTCAGCCTAGTGGCATGGTATTTCAGGTGGTTCTGCTTTGCAATCTTTGTCCCAGCTTGGCTTCCTTTTTTTCTTTCCCAGCATTCAACTTCTTACCAGCAATGCATCCTGCTCCTTCCCTTTCTTTTTCACTTTGCACTCTAAGCACTAGCCAACAGCCCTCTCTTCTTACGGCAGCGGAAAGTTTTGGGAACCCCGGTTATCCTGGAGAGGAAGAGCAGGGATGCCACACCGGAGCCTGAGCGAGTCAGCAAAGAGAATGTCCACCTGGTAAGGGCTGCTCCCAGCACTGCTGAAGTTGCTGGTGGGGAGTGTGTGAGGGGAGTTTGAGTGCAACTTGGGCACTCATTTCAGCAATCCTTGGGCAGCTGCTTGCTGTTCTCTGCCCAAGAGAAGGTTTCCAAGTTTCTTCTGTGTGATCAAATAAGGTCTTAGGAAGCTGCTGTGAGGAGAGCAGGTGGCAAGGGCAGCATCGGGACAGGGTTGGCAGCACTGGGCCTCCACTCCAGTCTCGTCCCTCTGGCTGTGTTCCTGCCCTGGGGCATTGGCTTGTGCCCCCTTCCCTCTCTCCCATCCTCCTCCACAAGTTGTACAGAGCCTGCTGCCTGTGGGCAGTAGGGCTGTCCCGTGGCCCAGACAAACCAAGAATGGATTTGGGTCGTAGCTGCGCTCTGGTGGTAGAGCCTGCTCCCAGGGAACCCTGTGGATGCCACTTCATTCCCCAGCTTTCTACTCCTATTCCCTTCTCTTGTCCAGTTACAGAAATGTGGATCTCCAGCTCACATGTCCCAAGCAAAGCTGAAGTCTTTGGAGGGCCGGAAAGAGGTGAGACATGCGCACACATGCCCGTTCTCCTTCCTGTGGGGGGAGCCTGGCCTGCTGGGCTCTGACACCTGCAGAGGTGATGGCATGCACGCAAGGCTCTGTGACAGCTGCGGTCCCCTGGCTTGTGGCAGTCTGCTCCACGCCGAGCTGCGGGCAGTTGGCTTGCTGGAAGCTGGGCCTTGAAGGGTTTAACCCAAGCAGGGGTGTACAGCCCTTCTACCTGTGAGCTGGCAGGCTGGCTGTCACAGGAAGCAGAGGGAAGCTGGCAGCACAGGGTAGTGCTAACAGCCTGTCAGGGTGGCAGTGGGACAAGAGGTTGGTACAGCCCAAGGCCGACTGCTGTGTTTGTCCCTGTCTGCTCACTGCCTCTTGTCTAGTGCTCTGCTTTGGTAAAAGGTGTGGGAGGCAGACTCCAGCAGGGACTCTTTGCAGGGGGAGGACAGCACATCAACCTTTTCTTGCATGGCATTCTGTGTCTCAAGCGTTCAATTGCTCTAATTCTCTGCTCCAGGAATCCTGTAGACGCATGCGAGCCCGCCTGCTTTCCAAGGATTCGTCGTCCCTCTGAATCGCCTCGCACCAACGCGTGGGTGGGGATTGCCCAGCCTTGCAAGCTGTGAATAATGTGCTGCACTGAGGGGAGTGCTGCAGGCTCACGGCAACCCTCACCAACATGGCAGCGCTGTTGAAACTGGACCTTTGCAAAGACTGCAGGGACTTGTTTCTTTCTGTATATAAATTATATTTCATTCTACTATGGGGCAAACCACTATCTAACCAAAACTTGTGCAGCATGTCTGACCTGCTGGCTCTGGGAAGAGCTGGAGTGCTTGCTTACAAGGAGAGCCCTGTGCATTGCAGGGCCCTGTGTGCACTCCCAGCTTTCTCTGCAATGTTGCTAGGCTGTATTTTTTTGCTTTTCTGCTCTGAGTTTTAAACACATCAGCTTGTTTTTGCTCCCTCCCCTCTGTTAGCAGTGAGAACAATGGACTCCAACCTTCACCCACATCTTGTCAGCTAACCTTACCTCCAGGCCTCCTCTGGAGCCATGCCCTCCTCTGCTTCCTCTGGGCTCCATTTTGCCCTGCTGTCCCCAAAGGGCTGGAGTGCACAAACGGTACAGAGCACAGGATGGGGCTGGGAGAAGAGGAGATGCTCTGGGAGCCATCATTTCAAGTGGGGTCAGGGGAAAGCAGCTTCCCCAATAAACTCATCCCTCTGTTTCAGCTTGAGTGGGAGGCAGCTCTTGCTCACTGCCTTCACGGTTCCATGGCACAACTCTGCCTGGTGAGCAAGGAGTGTCTCTGCTTTGTATTCCCCCAGAGAATCTAAGCTGAGTGGGGCAGGAGGCTGGCAAAGGCTGTCTGGGGCACGGCAGGACAGCCCAGTCTTTGCAAGCTGGGGTGTCTGGGGCAGGCAGAGCCTGATGCCTGTGTGCAGCATAGGAACAGCATCAGCAACATGAGAGGTGAGGGAGGGCACTGGTCATTTGTTATCTGCTGCAAATGGTGCCAAAGGCTTTGGCTCAAGACATCTGGATGGCTGGTCAGGCAACTGGCTGATTAGTGATTAAACTGGGGGAAAGGGCTGGAGTTGGGTTCAGCTCTTCAGCCTGAGCTGCAGAAATGAGATGAAACCATCTAGATATGGGATAAACCCCCATCACAGCTGGCCAGTGTCAGCTGCCTTGTTAAGCTAAAGTGCTCCAATAAGCCAGTCGTGCCAAGTACCCATCTGCAAGCACTCTGGGGTAGGAAACACACAGGGTCACTACTGTGAAATAAAGATTTAATCAGCTGGGGAACCATCTAAACACTTCTCAGCCCTTCTCAGTGAAGCAAATAATCTCTGGAATCCAATTATAATTGTCTTCTAATCTTTAAGAACCAGCAGCCGGCAGGAGTTAGAGCTCTGTCCTTGACAGCTTTCTAAGACAACTCGTGGCAGGAGGTGTGAATATTGGGATGTGAGCAGGGAGTTCAGTCCGACTGGCTAGAGCTGTCAAAACAGGGTGTTGGAGCCCTGTGCAGCTTAGTTGGAATTTGTCACTTTTTTTAAAACTGATTTTTTTTTCCTTTTTTTTTTTGAGATACAAAGCTATGTGCCTCATGCTGCTCTCTCTAAAGGGATGTTCCTGGTACTTTATCTGGGGTGCCTGTCCCCTGTCTGACCCCAAATTGGAGGAGCTGCCTTGAAAATGTGGGGGGTAGTGGGACTGTAGATGTGTGAGTTGGGAGTTGCAGGTGTTAGGAGCCTCTGTCACAGCAAAGAGTGAGCTCTGGTTCTTCAGGGACCGGGCAGGCGAGGATGCTGTGAGGAAGGGCAGAGGCTGTTTGCTGTAGTAGTAGTATGTGCTTTTTGGATGTGTCTAGTCATTCCCTCTGGAGGCTGAAGCTGTCTATGTGCTCTTCTCTGAAGGGCACAGCATGTTTTGCTGACTGCACTTCTACCCTGCCCCTGCAGTCTGCTGTTAGCAGAGACCTGGGGATCTTGGCTTTGTCTCTGAACAGAGATGAGGCAGAGCTGAAGATCAGGCAGCAGTGCACAGAGAGCTGGGTCTGGTCCTGCTAATTCTGCTCTTACTTGTGTTGGGGGCAGTTGCTGGGTGAAGCATTTGTTCATCCCATCCCTCCTCTCCCCATTGCCCCTAGCTTACTTGGGCATGTATTTCTGTATAGGTGTCTGCTTGGCAAGGCAGTCTTGTTCCTAAGACTAAATACACTGCTCCTGTATAGATGAGAGGAATGTAACTCTTCTCTTCATTGTCCCCCCTTACTGATGGCTCTAGCTCAGGGACTCCATCTGGCTTCTGGAACAGCTGAGATTTGCTTAGCTCTAAGAAAAATTATCTATGGGGCATCAGCCTGGCGTTCTGCATGTCTCAGATGCCTTCCCTGCCAAAGGGGTGGGTGCAGTCTCCAGACAGGGCAGTCCCAGGAGGGGTTTGGAGCCCTGGGCTTTAGCCCATGGTCCTGTCCTCCCTATGCTGAGAACGGTGGTGGCTAACGGATTTGGCCTCTAGGACCCTTGGCTGTTGCAGTCCCAATGTGTTCACGCTGTCTCACAGGCACGGGGGAGTTTTAGTTATGCTTGGATGTGTCTCATTTGTGTGCCCTGTGCGATGACTCACAAAGATGCTTCCTCCCAGAGCAGCCACTAACTGTTCCCAGAGTCTATCGTTTCCAAAGTATTTTTAATCTTTGTCCTTATTTATATATGCTATGTATGTACTGTTTCAGACTGTTGCCTTTCTGTGTGTTCATGTGAAAACCCCATATTAAATGCTTTTATTTTTAGTGGTTTTGCTCAGTGCCTTAAGCAGTTTCATTGGGACAGCAAGGACTTGGTTGTGCATCCACCTTCAAAAGGAAGGAAGCGTCTGCTCAGAACCCCTGAGCTCCTACCCTTAAGTGGGGGGGTAGGCCTTTCCATGGCACTAGGGCTTGTTCCCTCTCCAGGATCCTGGTGTGATGCAGGGTGCCCAGACAGGCTGTCTTTCCCTTGGAGGTATGAAGTTGGACCTCTTCTTTTCCTGTCTTCCCCTGCTGTCATCCAGGGTGATGAGAAATCAGGTTTACAAAGAGCACTTTATATAAATAATGGATCAAATGAATACATTTTTCTCTGTAGAACCATTCTTCTCTTGCCACTCTTGGCTGCCGAGGGAGGATGGTTTCTGCTTGCATTTTCTTTTCCTCCTTCTTAATAATGGCGTCTCAGATTTTATGCAGATTATTTCTCTGTGAAGTTCTTCCACATTTGAAATGCCCTGGGCTTGCCTGCCGTGGCTCAGACACTCATTAACGTCCTCCGCCATGCAATTGAAAAACAAGCAGGAGAAGCAAGCGGCGCGCTACGTTTGAAACCAGCGCTGCCTTCCTGCAGGGTGAGCTTCAAGCGGGTGTCATGGGACTGGTGTGCCCCATTTCCCCGGAGCTCAGGGAGCGGGAGGGGATGAGCCTCGGTGCACTTGAAAGTGGGCATGGGAATCCAGAGAGACATTTCTGTTCTTGAAAATGTTGAACAAAGGAAGGCAAAAACTCACAATAGCTATTTTGAATACTGCAAACCCAAATATCACCTCCCTGATAAGCTGTGATTCAAAGTGACAGCTTTATATGGCTTACATAATGTAAAAAATGAATAGTTTTTAGTCCCTGAAGCCACAACCCAAGCACTTATGCTTGGCTGCAAGTGAAAGGGCAGCAGTCATTGGGACCAAATACTGGGTGAAGGTGTGTATTTAGAGGGGGATTGCTCAGCTTTAAGTGTGTTTGCTTTGGCCTGTTGGTATTCCTGCACAGCAGTGGCATTACAAAGCAAACAAGCAGTGCTCATCCTTCATTTCATTAAACAGTTTTTGTCTCAAATTGCACAGCACAGACTTGCAAATAAGTTCTGCAAAGTGTCACTGCTATCTAAATCAATTTTTGCAAGTTGTCTTGATTTTTTTTTTTAAATTGTTCTCCCCTGGTTCAGAGTTGAAGTAAGGTATTTTTTCTCTCTTAAATTATCATGTGTGGCTGGGAGCTGTCATACTGCTGCTGCATCTAACTGCCTAGGGCAGCAGTGTAGACAAAAACCATGAGTACTGCTAGCGATAGATGTTGGCGCCAGCCAGACCAGTTATCAGGCTTTACAATCTCATTGGCTTGGATTAACTAATATTTTTTCACGGAGTGAATAAATTACCATGTTTAGTTCTGTTTGCTCATCCCCCCAGCAAGGGTTTTGTGCTGAAGTTCATAAATTGTGCAGGCACATAGATGCCAAGATGTCCGTGCTGGGTCCCACATTGACCTTCCACTCGTGCTGCGGACCAGGGTGGGATCTCCACTGGCACCAGCTCTCCGGCCCCATCCTGCTCCAGACCAGCTCTGTTGCTGGGTGTATTGGGTTTGCGTGGCAAGGTTTTGGTAGCAGGGGGGCTACAGGGGTGGCTTCTGTGAGAAGCTGCTAGAAGCTTCCCCTAT